CTTTCGTGTGTGATCATCCTCTCCTCCCTCCCAGTCTGTATTAATTGGATCTGGTAGGTGTTCACTTTTCCCTCTGTTAGGGAGACGATTTTCAAGAAGTGGTTTTGGTGCCAGCGACATCAAGAGTTACTTGTTTGTATATGTGTTTATATTATTTTTTAATCCCTCCTCCTTTTGCTCCACCCCTATGACACACCTTTTAAACATGCTGACTTAATAAAACTTGATTATCATAAACTTTGGAAACCTTTAAACTTGAGAAATACCTTCTATTACTTGTGTTTCTCCCTTTATATCAAAGAATTGTCTCCTAAATAGGTTCATTGCTTTTTGGACAGCAGTCTGCAGCTCCAGATGTGTTTTCACAATTAACAAAGAGTTAAGTCTTAAGAAAACTCAAAATAGAGATGTAGATGTAATAGTCCATTTTATATATATATGTATGTGTGTGTATATATGTGTGTGTGTTTGTATATATGTATGTATATGTATATATATATATACATGAAACCTTACCTCTACTTTTTCAGTTTTAAATGATGTTGATAAAAAAGTTTTCCCAGAACAACCTGGATAGTTGAAGTGGCTTAATTTTTTTCCTGAATGAGGTTTAGTTTTCTAACTGGGCAGTCTCCTTTGTTGTTTCGTATGGTGACATCATTATCTAGTGTTATTCTTTTCTCATTCCTATGTAAACTAGTGTCTCATCCCACCAGAAAAACCTGATCACACATCTGGTTTTCTGAATAAAACCCTTCAGAGGCCTTTCGTATATACCAGTGAAGTCCAGTCTTAACTGTGGCATACAGAAGCCTCCATGATTTTTCTCTCACACTCATATTCCAAGCCTATCAAATACAGCAGCCTGTTCACACCTCTCTGCCTTAGCTCCAGTTGCTCCCTCTGTTTGGAGTACTTCCCTCCAAGGTCGACCAGGTGAACATCTAATCCTCTTTCAGGACTCAGCTGTATCTGAAGTCTCTACATTCTCGTCCCTCGCACCCTGAATCCATCACTCCCTTCTTTGTGTCCCCCTGACCCCTTCACACTTCCATAAGCAGCACATAGAACACTTGAGTGTTATCTTTGTTAAGTTAGATGTCTCATTCTTGAGGCATTTCCCTCCTGCAGTGTAAGCTGCATCCAGGTAGGGACCCTGTGTTTCCTGTTTTGTTGTAGCCCCAGCATCTGGCTCATGGTAGATGCTTAGTAACTGTGGAATAAGTGAAAACTATAAGCGGTTGAGAACAGGAACTGTATCGCCAATGCTTAGTGCAGTTCCTGGGACATAAGCACTTAAATGTTGAATGGGTTAATGAATTTGAATTCAGTATTACATTTTGTAAATTTACACACCCATTTCTTCCAAAGAATTGTCACAAGGGAAGTGTCTTTAAAAATCCAAGCTAAATCTATTTTTCTGAATCTTTGAAGTAAATTGTTTGCATTTCACTCTTGGTTTCCCTCATAAATGCTATAGGACAGTGTGCTTATTTTGGTTTCAAGAACAGATTTTTTTTTTAGAACTATCAATTTTTATTTCAAAATCTTTTCATGTTCTCTAGCCCCCTTCTAGGCAATTGAATATCTTTGACTTACCGCCCTCTTCTTCTTATCATTGTGGTAATACTCTGTTAAGGATAACTTCCTTATGATTTATGGGAATTGTATTCAGCAGGAGAATAAGATGATAATGAGAGATTTTTTTAAATATCATGAAGGAACATTTTTGGAAACATGTTGTGATAATGGGAGTTTTTTTGTGGTTGCCCTTTCCAGAAGTGAATGACCTAGATGCTAATATGCAAACTTGGTATCAATTGGAAGAAAGTAACTTCTTTAAAAGATGGAGACATAAAAAGAGAAACCTTTGTAGAAAAAATTTTGTTCCACCTCAAGGAATTAAGTTTTTTAGGAATGGTAAATTCAGATGGTCTGAGAAACATCAATCCAAGATAAATATGATCTGTATTTTCGGTGGACAGAAGTAATATTTTTTCCTTCAAAAATAGTATAATTAACAGAGCTACAGAAATACTGGCTCATTTCTTTGAAGAATAGTCAGTGTTCTGTAGGTTTTTTTTTTTAAAAAACATTCGTAAAAGGAGTAGCTGATTATATAGGAACACGTTTGGTATTTTTCAGTATTGAGTAGTTAAAAGATGTCCTTTGTGTTGCACAATGCCAAGCACTCTATATAGTAAGCTTCCATAAGTTCCCGTTATTTCCTGTTAGAATCTAACTGATTTGTTTTACCTATTTATGCTTAAAAGTAAGCACTGCAGTTCATTCCCTAGTGCCTCCTCTTAAAAAAGTATAATAAATAAACCTAATCCCCCCCCTCCCAAAAAAGAAAAGTAAGCACTGCACTCTTACAATCAAAGTTTATAGGAAGTACGTATTATCTCCCTTTGGTTTTCTTTTTTAGCCTCCTAACTCCCTACTTTCACCCTTGCCCTCCCTTAAGTCTGTTCTTAACTCAGCATCAAGAGTGATTTCTGGTAAAACAGATCATGACAGTCTACCCAACCTTCTGTGGATTTCTGTGAATTTCCCATTTCATTCATAGTAATTAGTAAGTGATCAACTGTTATCTGTCTCCCCCTACTAGATGGTAAACTCCGAAGAAAAGGGAATTTTTTAAAATGTTGTTTCCCAAGTGCCTAGAATAGTGCCTGGCATATGTTAGGCACTCAGTTATTGGTTGAATGACTTGTCCTTTAAATGAATTAATACATTTATTTTGAGGCAAGTTCAGTTGAGTATCTTACAAGAACTGTACATATTTCTAGTGCCTTTTTCCTTTATGGATTATTTTTAAGGAATCAATCCTAGAAATCAAATCTCAATAACATTAAATATAGGAGTCGATTTAAAATTATTATTGATAAAATAGTTTAGGTTTTTTTCACCCTGTTTATATTCTGTAACAGAATGTTTATTTTATGAGAATGTATTTGAATCCTCATCCTTATAGAAATTGGAGGGACGAGGTTAGAGCTTTTCTTGAATTAGAAGGGTAAAAACCAAAAATTTGGTATGCCCTCTACCCTTTCCTTCCTAAATGTTTAAAAAGAATACAAAGGATATCTGCCCATCAAAGGCAGTCTTTGAAGGGTTGTGAGAGGGAGAATAAGTTATAAAAGGCTGGGGAATGAAGATTGATAAGAGGAAAGGGCCAGGTAGGTAGCCCAGCCCTGAAAAGTTTAAGTGAACAGATAGATACCACTGTCACTCTAAGATCCTCATTTCTCATAGGCTAATTCAAGAGTGGCACTTGTTAAAAAGAAGTTAATATTCACTAAACAACAGCAAAAGCCACTTTACAGTGTTTTTATCTAAATATATCTATATATGAAAATAAAGTGGTATCTCTCAGTTTTGCAGTAGTTATATAATTTGAGATTTATTAATGTCATGCTCACCCTACACTTTGTGATTAATACATTCTGAGATTTTAAAATCAGATGAAAACAGGTTATTGGTAATATAGCAGTGAGTGCAAGCTCTGGTTTTGGAGTCAGATGGAACTGAGTTCATATTCCAGTTGTCACTTATGTGTAAAATATGAAGAGAGATTATCAAATTATGTTACATTTTAAGGAACTTCTTTCACAAATAACAAAACATAACATTTTGGATATTTCAAACTGACTGAAAGTTACTTTTGTTTTAAAGGCCTGATCTCTCCTATAGAATGCTTTAAAAGTAACCCCTCTCCTTAAAAAAAATCTAAAATATAAGCAAATACTTATTTTTAAGCATTCAAAGCAAAAACAATAATAC